AAAAATTAGAACAGTTTCATCAATATGACACAAACCCAAATATATTTTTCCCCTGCATCTCTCCTCCAAGACTGTAAATGACAAAGAAGTATTTAATCAACAGGAGGGACAGTCCCAAGGCAACTACGTTACTACACAGCAAAACCAAAGATGTTAGCACAATCAAGGCTTCAAACCTGTGAATTTGAGCCGTCCCCTAAAACCAGAAAATATATATCCTTGATGTGATTGTTAATTTAAGTGAATGTGATTCTGGAAAAATATGCATTTGTTATGCTACAATGATAGTGCAGGGACAAACAGCATACTGTTGTTTTTGTTTTTTGAGAAACTGTTTTCATGGCCCATTCGCAGGCATGGTTCTACTTTTGGCTTCATTTTTTTCAATACTGATGCTGCCCTATTGGTTTCACAGGCTTATAAATGTTAAACATCAAAAATTAGTTTCACTTATTATGGTTGGAAAAGGCTTTAAGAACTCTGGGATCTGTGCCTCTGAGCAAAGGCTTTATCAGCAGGTCCCAGTCTCAGCTTCTTGAAAAAAGAAAACAGAACTGATTAAAAACCAATATACCTGACTTCCAAAAGGACACCTACCATGCACGTATACAGTTAATTCATAAAGGGTTTCTGCCCCAAACTCACAATCACTTACTCTTCAAAATCCCATCTCTCATATCCGTGGTAACTGGCACCAAGGGAATAAATATGAAAAATTAAATCTCAAACTGAACTATTTATTCAAAAATTCTATCTAGATTACTTTATTCTTCATGGATGTTTAATGACCATCAGTATCTTTCTAAAGTCTGTGTCTGAACTGCAAACACTGTCCAGATGTTTTGCCATTTATGCAAGGAAAAGAATAGAATAAATTTTATTTTTTCTTTTAATCAGTATTCTTTAACCTCACACTAAATAAATTTAACTTGTTTTACTAGAAGCAGGCATTATATTTGTATGGAAGTAAAAAAGAAAAAAAAACTTGAGAAAAATGCTTACTATCCTTACAAATGATGAAAATATCCTCTATTTCTGAAGCAATCTCATTTATCATAAATGTACCAGGAAATAACACGCTTAAAATGGAAAATACCTAGTGAGTGCTATGTGATTCACATTTCTACCAAAGCAGTGAAACAAAACAAAACGCAAAAAAAGAAACCTACTATCAAAGATAACACACATCTCGGAGGCTGGTAAGGCATACAGTCCTGTACATTCTGACACGCAGCTTCAAATGGCAGAGGAAGGAAGGCTCACTAGTGATCCCTGACAAAGCAGGTAAGGTGGGAGTTAACATGCAACTGCTGGTGAGCACAGGGCCACGGTGACCCCATCTCCTCCCAGTGCATCATTTAAAAAAAACTATATCCAATTTTTCAATTGTCCAGGTTTTACAGAGAGATTTAACAGATACATAAAAGATTATATATAACTCAATATCTCACTTAAGACAAATTTTAGGTCTGGTTTGCCAGGTAAAGATGAAAAATACAATCAAGTAACATTTTAAAAATCTAGTTTGGCAACCACCATGATTAATAACTGTCCTAAACAGGAAACGAATTAGCAGTGGATGCTAAAACCAGTGGGTTAAGTATAATGACAGGCAGAATTTTTACACAGTCTCAAATTATCACCCATCTTGCCACGAGATACTTATTAATTACATATGGGGAAAGAGTAATGTAATAATAATGTGGAGAAACCCAGGGACACTGCCTTACCAAAACTTCAAAGTAGTATCATCAATAAATGGGACAAGCAGATACCATGTGCCTCCTAGTATCTTGCGTTGAGACAGACACAGCATCATTTATGTGATATTCCTGCCAAAAGTGCATGAGGAAACAGTAGATAAACCAAAACTGAAGGATATCCTACAAAATAATTGGACTCCTCAAAAATGCTAATGTCCTAATAAATAAAGACTGAGGAACTTTCCAGAATGAAGAAGAATAAAGAGACATAACAACAAAATGCAATGTCCTAGGCCAGGAAGAAGAAACCATTTTTTCTGCTATAAAAGAAATCAGTGAGACATTTGGCAAATCTAAATGAAGTATATAAATCAGGATGAATGGTAAAGCAAATGTTAAATGTTAACGGCTTGGGTATCTAGGTGAAAGTGAATAGAAAATCTTTTCACAAGTTTTGCAACTTTCTGAAAGTCAAATTATTACAAAATTAAACTTTTTTTTAAACTTGAATACATTCAATTTTTAATATTTCAGCACTATTAACTTTACCTAGAAAAAAACACAGAGTCTGCAATAAAGTAAATGCTTCTCTCTGAATTCCCCCTTAAGATGGGGGTGTTAATCAACAGAAAAAGACAAAAAGAAAAACAACCAGCCATGGTGGATCATGTGGAGCCCACATTCTAAAGCTGCAGACTAGGCCTTGCATTATTTTTTCTTCTGGTAATAAGCCAAGATCCGAAAAAAGTAACTGACCTGGGGCCACTTGCTGAGTCACACTCACCTTGTTATTTGGTAGAGATCACAAAATACCTAACTCTCAGGTCTTCCAAGAGGAAGACTGGACAAGCAATGACACGGGGACACCAGTTTGCTGAATCCTATGATCCCTGAGAGAGAGGTAATGACAAGTCTACAGTGTTTCTAAGAACAATCAGGAAGCCATACCCTAAGGCCTCACTGGATTTTATTATGTTTCTATCCTTAGCTTTACTATAACTATACAGGCATTTCAGAGATCAGCCACATGCTGATGGTACAGCATTTGCTAGAGAGCAAACAGTCATAAATACCCACAATTTTTAAAGAGATTCAAGAGACACCATCTCAAACATGTGGCACAACATGGACCAAAGTGGTGTATTTAACGACCAGTTCTCCAAAAGGGTTGCTTCTGACCCAAATGAGGTGGATATTCAGAGAAAGCTGCCAAAGGCTTCCATACCTGCCTATTTAGATGTGACCAAGACTTAGTGATTGATTGGTGTTGCTGCCCTGTGAGCCTTTGAGTCTCTGAAAGCCCACTTATGCCTTCAGCCACTACCTCCATCATACATCCTACTGTGCTTACCCCTCATCATCCTTGCAGCCAGATCCACTTTCATCCATGGGACTCTCTTCCAGTCCTGAAGCATATCCCTCCCCACCCTTCTCTGACATTTCAAGGTCAACTCTCTCTTATCGAGGTTGTGGTACCATTCAACACACTATCAAATTCATCTTATTAAAATATAATAGGGGTGCTTGGGTGGTGCAGTCTATTGCAGTCGGTTAAACATCCAACTTGGTTTCAGCTCAGGGCCATAAGATCAAGCCCTGCATTGGGCTCTGCACTTAGAGCAGAGTCTGCTTGAGATTCTCTTTCCCTCTCCATCTCCCTCTGCCTCTGCCCTTCCTCATCCTGTGCTTGTGTGTGCTCATGCTCTCTCTCTAAAATAAATCTTTAAAAGAAATGTAATACTTGAATCTTTGTTTGAAAACAGAGTGATAAAACGCTATTGTATCTAATAAATGTTATAATCAATACAATCAAAACATGACTACTAAAAAAGACAGCAAATGTCAAAGCACAAGAAGTAAAAGCTGGGAAGGGAAGAATGAATCTTATGAGAAAAAAATAAACAATTTTTTTTAAATGTCACTTTTTGAAAGGCCCCCTAACTGCCATTTATACTGCTGCTTGCTTGTGTCTCAAACTCAAGCTCCAAGCTTCATAATTTCCTATATAGTAGCCATTTAATAAATAAGCACATATATGTAGACATGTCACAAACATTAAGTATTAACTGCAACAATTGATCTTAACGGTTTATGGGGAAAAAGATAACTTCTGAATCCCAAAGCCTCACTTCTGGATTGTTTATTTCCCTACATAAAAACATATACCTCACAAGATACTTATGGCCAGCATCCAAAAATGGGAAACAGACCAACAAACAGCAATAAATAGTGGATTTTTTGCCATTGGCAGCAGAAGAGTGAAATGGTGCTTCCAGAGAAGGATTTACTGAAATAGTTAAGTTCATCACTAGCCTCATTTGTTTAGAACAAATGCTCACCTGTAGGTGAATTAAGAAAGAACAGGGCACATGGACAGCAACTTGCACAGACAACCAATGATGCTCTCCATGCAATTAAACCTCTGGGAGTTTAAGAGTAAGGTGAAAAAGGTAGGGATACACTAAAAGGAAAGCTATGGTAGAACTTTTTCCCTAAAAAAGACAAAGAATCACAAAACCCATTAACAACACCACAACATATGCCCATTTGAGGTCTTTACTCTATGTGCAACTTTGCCTACTGACACCCAGCAGCAATTGGAGAAAAGGTGCAAGTCACAATCTTCTGGAAGCCTTGTGTACTTGAAAAAAGAATATTCAATGTCTCTACTGGTTTTATATTCTAGACTATAGGTTTTAAAAAGCTGAAATTTTTTTAGGGCTGAAAGTTTAAAATATGCAGGGAAAAAGCATTTGGGGAGGTGAGGGCAAGGAAAACCTTGAGATGTGACACTGGAACACACAGCTGCCCTCAGGGAGAGTTAAACAGAATTAAAGATGCAAATGGAAAAAGAAAGCTAGTCTTTTAATCATAACAGGAAAAAACCCCTCTGAACTAGGTGAAATCTAGGGTTGAATATCAATCATGAATTATTTCTACCATAAGTTTTAGACCAGAATAATTTAAAAACATTGAAGACAAAAATAGAACCCAGCCCTTCAAAATAAATGGCAGTATAAGACGAAAGAAAATGGACAGAAAGGAAAATCTAAGATTAAATATTTGAGGGGCGCCTGGGTGGCTCAGTTGGTTAAGCGTCCGACTCTTGATCTCAGCTCAGGTCTTGATCTCAGGATGAGGTTCAAACCCCACACTGGGCTCCATAGTGGGCATGGAGCCTACTTAAAAAACAAACAAAAAAAGCTAAGATCAAGTATTTGCATACTAAACTTACTTGTGGTCACAAAAAGAATGTACATTCATTTTAGAAAATCTGGAAATACTACGTTGACTCACCTCTCGAGTAGCTAGCTGGTTGCTGAGTTCCTCAGCCTTCTCGATGTTCCATTCTTCCACAGCCTGGTCTATGCTCTTTTCAAGGCCCGACTAGAAAGCAAAGAAACCTAAAACTTAAAGGCAGGAAAGAAAGGCAAACAATTGCTGGCAAAAACTATGTCACAGGGCTATACCGAACATGTTACTTAGACCACTGAATTTTCATGGTGACCCCTGTGGTAGTTGGTACCATTCCTATTTACTGATGAGAAGGCCATGCAGAGATACCAAATGGCTTAATCAAGGTTAGATAACTTCCTGAACTAAGAAAAAGGAGATGCCAATCCAGACTTCTGTGACTTCAAGGACTACACTTCCCCTTAATTACAATATAATGTTAATGATAACAATAGTTAAAATGATGGCAAGCTTATTATGTAGTAGATTCCAGCTTAGTATTATAACAAAGCTCATTTATCCTCCCAACAATTTCACAAAATACTGCTATCCTGTTTTTGAACATGAGGAAACCGAGGCCTCAGACTCACTAACATGGCCAAGGTCCCAGAGTCTGCAAGTGGTAAGGCTGTCACATGAATTTGGGTCTGCCCAGAGCCTGTACTCTCACCACCTTCCCCTGCTCCTTCCTGTAACTGAAGCCCTCCTTCAACAGCCCTCCAGCATCTGACTATGGGTATTCAGGTAGATATTAAATATGGGAGGAATGTTACATAAGAGAATGATTTTATTTTCCTATGAAAATGTTTTTCTTTATTAGCTGAAGATGCTTCAGGAAATCATAATTAAAATTTTCATGAGGCTACCAAACAGATGAGGTAGGATTCATCATACATTTATGGAAAGATGCTTGGACTTATATAACTGAATTTAGCTTGTGGAAATAGTTACCACAGAAAGTTTTAAAAATGTTTAAATGGTCTTATATTGTTTCTCACAAGAAAATTTTGCCCTAACAATGGCTTAGCCAGTGTGTCCTCCACATTTTCAGTTCCCAATTTCTCCCTCATCTAGTAAAAGGGACCCCGGGAATGCCTCTGCCTGTCAGTGTACTGCTTAATTATACCCATCAACTAAGAGAAATTTTGTTCCTGTATAGCCTCTGTTGAAACAAGACTTAAAAATGTCTATACACATGGGCACCTGGGTGGCTCCTGGTGGCTCAGTGGGTTAAGTGTCTGCCTTTGGCTCAGGTCATGATCTTGGGGTCCTGGGATTGAGTCCCAAGACAGGCTCTCTGCTCAGTGGGGAGCCTGCTTCTCCCTCTGCCCCTCCTCCGTGTTTTTTCTCTATCCCCCGCACAATGGAATACTAGTCAGCCATCAAAAAGAATGAAATCTTGCCATTTGCAATGATGTGGATGGAGTCAGAGTGCATTATGCTACGCGAAATAAGTTGGAGAAAGAAGAATATCATATGATTTGACTCCTACGTGGAATTTAAGAAACAAAACACGTAAGAGGCACCTGGATGGCTCAGTCAGTTGAGGGTCTGACTTTTGATTTCGGCTCAGGTCATATCTTGGGGTCTTGGGGTTGTAAAAATCGAACCCTATGTCAGGCTCCATGCTGGGTGCAAAGTCTACTTGGGATTTTCTCTCTCCTTCTCCCTGTCCCCTTTCCCCCCACATCACACACACACATGCTCTTTCTCTAAAGTAAATAAATCTTAAAAGAAACAAAACACGAATATATAAGGAGGGGGAATAAAAGAGAAGGAAACAAACCATAAACTCTTAATGATAGAGAAAAACTGAGGGTTCAGGGAGGCTGATGGGTGGGGGAGGGGCAAAATGGGTGATGGATCTGAAGGAGGGCATATGTTATGATGAGCACTGGATGTTATATGTAAGTGATGAATCACCACATTCTACTCCTGAAACCAATATTACCCTGTATGCTAACTAACTAGAATTTAAATAAAAATTTGAAAATAAAAATAGTGGCCATACATAATCTGCCTAAAAACACGGAACACAGACAGGCAAGGTTATCACTAGTGTCCCTGTTGAATGAAGATCATCCCTTCTCACAATCCCTTGCCCCATCTAAGGACTTGATAGGATGACACGCTTATCATCCTTGCTCCCAACTGTAGCCTGAGACCATCATTCAATAGGCCTTAGTCTCTGATCCCAGGCCATGTGGCTCTCCTGTCTTTTCCCATTCTGGTCCTATGATTACCGATCAGTCTCCAGAAATTCTTTTTTGTATTTCTGAAGAACTCTTCTCCTCGTGATCCAACGAACACCCTGGACTCACTTTTCCAACATCCTTCATCCTCAGGGACCTCTAATGCCCATACCAGGATCCATACTCAAGGTCTGTGACACACCAAGTGTGGTGTGTGCACCTGTTCAGGTCTGTGAATAGTGCCAGTCCATGACCTGAGCGTGTGCCAGAATGCAAATCAACTACATGACTATACAGCTTGGACTTTTGGTTTAAGAGGAGAGGGGGAGGGGAGGAAGAAAAGACTTTCTCAAACAAGGAAGTAGTACACTGAGTTATATTCAGACACAAGCTCTGTATGTCTTAGAAGACCAATACTTTGAAAAGGTTCACTCTGGGCCATGCAACAGACATCACCTGAAAGCTCCAGTTCCAAAGCTTTACAGTCTGGAATTCTTTCTAAACTCAATATTCTGTCCTTTCACTAGTCTCAAGTCTTCATAGCCAGTGAACCTGCCTTGTCTTCATTTGAAAACCTACCCTGGCACCACCATATTTATTCTCCCAGTCCTTCAGGCCCTTCTTGGATTCTCCTGCCCTCTCTCTCTCTGGCCTGCCATCCATGATTAACCTTTTCAAACTCTAAGCCAGGAGTTCTCAAAGTATATGTCTGGAGCAGCAGCATCAGCACTACCTGGGAACTTGTTAGAAATCTAAATACTCTGAATCAGAAACTGGGATCAGGGCCCAGCAATTCATTGATGCTTATCAGGCCAAAGTTTAAGAACCAATGACCTGGCACGCCTGCATGGCTCAGTGGTTGAGTGTTTCCCTTCAGCTCAGGTGATGATCTCAGGGTCCTGGGATCAAGTTCTGGAGCAGGCTCCCCACAGGCTCCCTCTGCCTCTGTCTCTGCCCTTTCTCTCTCTCTCTCTCTCTCTCTCTCTCTCTCTCTCTCTCTCTCTCTATCTCATGCATAAAAAAAAAAGAAAAAAAAAGAATCAATGACCTAAGCAATATGTACAATTTCCTCCCACATTTACCTTGTTTTGGCTCTTTCCAACCACATATTTCTACTACTTGAACATCTAGGTGTCCCAGCTGTGTCAGAGAAAACCAAGTAACTCAATTCACTGGCTTGTAGTAAAAGACGATCTTCAAATTCAACTGAGTGGGCTCTAACTTCTACCCTTGAAAGTTCCCACATTCCTCTAAGAAGTTGTTACATTTCTACTTTTTCAAATGCCCTCAACCCTACCTCCATCCTTTTCAGATTATAACTCTACCTTCTAATTCATGAGAGGCTGAGGCAGAGTGGGAGGGGAAGAGAAGAACCAAAGAAGGGGCATTGTATGTCCCTTCTACAACGTTCCTCTCATCAAACCTCACAAGGTGTTATCTTCACTCACCCTGTCCCTCTGTCCCTACTGCCTCCAAGAAAGAATCATCTCTTTCCAAAACTAACCGTACTACCTGTGCTCATCCTAATCCTATCTGCTTACATGTCACCCAGAAGCCTGCTCTTTAAATTTTCTCCTCTTGGGGTGCCTAGGTGGCTCAGTTGGTTTAGCATCTAACTCGTGATTTCAGTTCAGGTTGTGATCTCACAGTCATAAGATGGACCCCCAAGTCACACTCCAAACTCAGTGAGGAGTCTGATGAATATTCTCTCTCCCTCTTCTCTGCACTCTCTCTCAAATAAATAAGTAAATCTTTAAAAATAAATAAATAAAAATAATTTTCTCTTCCCCCCCTCCTTTTTCATTCTTCTCACCCTACAAACATGTCTGTCTTTCCCATTCTGGACCAGGGACTGGATGAGATGACACAGCTTGCTTCTCAGGTTGGTACTTCCTTTCTCTCTTGTAGGTCAGTGTACTGAGAGGCCTGTGTCATCCCCCACTGCATTCTCTATTCCTTTTGTCTTCATCCTTCTCTGAAACTCAACAATCACAAATAACACCATTTGTCCTCCTCCTACCTGATCATCTATTATGTCAACTACATCCTCATTCTTAAAACTACCTCCCCAAATATAGAACTTAAATCTCCTTGGAGGTCCTTGATCTCCTTTTCTTGAATTATAACTCTAATTATGACAGTCCTCAAGGCTCTGTGATTAGACCCCTTTTCTTCTGACTTTTCCCTCTTCTCCAGTAATGTACTCAGTCCTAGGACTTCAATTACTTCTTATAAGCTGCTTCATGTATCTTTAAAATTTCAAAACATCTGATCTCTCGGCTATACCAAGATCTCTAACTCCAGCCACTTGCTAGTTATCTTTATATTGAAGCCTTGGAAAGGCAGGGTCTCCAACTTTTTGTTATGCCTACAAACAAGCTCATCCCTTGCTGCCCTGCTTCCCCTTCAGAGCTGCCCACCCACTCAGCCACCCCAGACGGGAATCCTCAGTGGTCTTCAATGCCTGCAATCCTGTGCTCTTATTTTTAACTTTTTTGTAGGGTATCTCATGTCTCTTTTCTGGGCTTCTTAGAGGCCTCATCAACTTCTGTTTGGAAGTTGATAACCTTCTCCAAACTAGTCTTCTACCTTTTTCAAGTAGACACGCCATGTCATTAGCCACCTTGAATTGCAACTGAAATCCCTCTACAATAGTTTCCCACAATGCTTTCTCAGCCCCATCTTGGGCAATGCTGTGCTTCCAATCTCTGGTCACATTTACCAATCTCTTAATGTCCTTGGTGCCTCTGATATATTTCTACCAGAAAAATCTTAGCCACCCTAGTATGTCCCATGTCAATGTTACCTTCTCTACCTCTACAGGTTCACTCACCAATACATCCACTGACCCTGCTTCACTCTGCCCTGTGCCTAGTACCTAACTGCCTTCCACAGTGCTTTCTCTAAGCTGTACTATCACTGCACTCCATGACTCTCTTGAGCACTTGTGGGTCTGTCTCC